TTCATACTGTATATCTCTGGAAATGTTCATGGTAGAGTAGAAATCTATCGCATACTCATGAATAAAATTTCGGACTATTTGAAAATGGAGCGTGGCACCTCCCATATAAACCGAATTTTTCATAATAAGTGACTCTGGAAGTGTTTATGGTAGAGTACTTTTTTTTTGAGTACCTTTATACCAGCGTGGCACCTCCCATACAAGTCGAATTTTTCTTATTGCATATCTCTAGAATTGTTCTTGGCAGAGTACTGGAACTTGGTGCGGAGATATATGAAATTAATCGCATAGTCATTGAGAAAATATGGAGCTATTGGAAAAGGGGGAGTGGCACCTACCATACAAGCCGGATTTCATACTGCATATCTCTGGAAGTGTTCATGGTACAGTACTGGAACTTCGTATGGAGATAAATGAAATCAATCCCATACTCATGGAGAAAAGTAGGCCCTTTGAAAAGAGGGCATGGCAAAGTGACTTTTCCTTATCTTTGAATGTGTATATAATTATTCTGTAGGTATGTTTGTGAGTGAAATCCTAAATGGCTGGAGGGATTCCAAAACAGTTGTGTGTGTGTGTTTGAGTGAGTCTCTGCTTGCGCTGGAATTGAGTTATTACTAAAAATCTTTTTTTTATGATCCGATTTGACGAATATTCAAAACATGTATTGGAAACGGTAAAGGAAGTCCAATTGCAAAAAAGAGATGTGAGGTGATGCTGAGCTCGAGTTATTACTAAAAATCGACAAGTGAGAAAAGGTGCCGTGAATGTCAGACTAAATTGACCTGTTGCACCATTGAGTATATCGAACTCTCGTGTATTTAGGGATGCAAACGATGCATCGTTATTTTTGAAACATCGATAATATCGGTTCGAAATTCGATGTTTGCCATCGATGTTTACAATTTCCTAAAATCGATAAATAGACGATATATCGATGACAGTTTCAGTTTAATTCCTCAAAATTATACACAGTAGTTAAGTTGCTTAGGATCAGTGTAGCCAGAATCTTTTTGTACCGCTTCCCCATATCAAGTCGCAGTTATCCCCAAAAAATCCCCGTTTTTTTAAGCCTCATTTAAATCCCCTTTAGTAAAAAAAAATATGTATTCTCATTTGTGTTACTTAGTTCATTTTAGTTACAATTTGAATACTTTTCTATTACATCTTTTCAAAGCTTTACTATATATACATACATATGTATATAGACGTAGACATACGTATGTATGAGATCATTTAGTTATTAATAAAATGGGGTTTCTTGTTTTTTTTATGGTTTTTAGAGACTATTTATTCCTACTGCTGTGAGTAAATTCGTCCAATTAATCTCCTTTTTTGTGTGCTTTCCATTTTGTTAATTTCTTTTTACACTAAATGAAGAACCGACGGTGTTGGAGCAAAGAAATCAGAAATATATATGGTTCATTCAGTGGATGCCAATCATAGCAGTAATTTTACAATTTGGTGTAATGAAGTGTGAGGAAATTGTTTGTTCAGTGAAAGCCAATCAAAGCAGACATTTGAGCCGAATAATACTTTGACGGCGATAGAAACTCTAATCGCCCCATCACCAAACGAAAAAATATATCCACAAATGAAAAAATCTATCCCCAACGGTTTCAGAAATCCCCAAAATGGGGCGAAATCCCCACATCTGGCACGTTGATTTTTTGCATTTTTTTTCTGACAGTGTCACGCAATATTCCCATACGAAGTATGTTCGAATGGCTTTTTATATGGAGGTAAATGCCTAGCACCATCAACATTGACGAAAAAAATAACATGAAAAACTTTGCATTCATTGCGAAAATGTCTCCGTGCGTAGGATCTATATATGTATAAACCAAATTTTGTACATCCGCATTAAACAGTTGCGGAGATATAACAAATTTGTTTTTTTCTTGTATAGCTTGTTTTATAGGACACATACATATGTACATATATCCAAACATCGTTAATCTGCACCAAATATGTAGTTGCGGATACAGGACGAATTCAAATTTTCTTTTCCCCTGGGGCCGTGGCTATGCCCACTTTTCCTAAATTATATATAGCTTACTTTTTCTCCGTGGGCCACAGGAATCTACAGTGAAAATTTCATAAAGATCAGTTTAGTACTTTGGATGACTATAAAAGACACATACACATTCATTTTTATATGTATACTAGCAGACCCGGCGAACTTCGTCCCGCCCAAAATAAAGTTTTTGTACACGGTCAAAAATTTGGGTTTAATTTTTAAACCGCGCTGGGACTACTGCCTTTTTTAATCTTTTATAGTCTACTTTTTAAACCAGTCAATAGTTTTAAGCAATTTTTAATATATTGTGGTTTAAATTTTAGTCCAAAAAGTTCGTGGTTTAAAAACCAAACCAAAATGTTTTAATTCTAGGTTTCATATATAGAAAATTTGGTTTAAAATCTAAACCGAAATAGAAAATGTTTGCACACAGCGAAATGTGGTGTTAATTCAAACTCAACGTATTAAAAAACATTTACATGCGTGGCTGTAGCTGAGTGTGCAAAGCTGCTTGATACAATTGGTTGCTACTAAGGCTGTCCGGGTTCAATCCCCATCAGACGGAGCATGAAATTTTATTTTTATTTTTTATTCTTAATTATGAAAATGTTTGGGTAAAATTTAATCCGAACTGTTTAAATTCTCAACCCAACATATGTGCCCTCTTTTTTTAATTTAGAAGGTTTGTATTTGAAACAGAATTTATGTAGTTTGGTCATATATGTAGTCCAAAAAGTTTAAAATTAAAACCGAAATTTTTAACCGCGTATTGAAACATTTTTGTCCAACATTTTCACCAAGAGTTCACGTTCATGATTTTTAGTGACGCATTTGTCTTCTAATATTACGGTTTGGTGGTTGTCAGAAGGCATATTTGCCGTCTTAAATAACTTAGCAAAACTGTACATGCATACAAAGATACGTAATAGTTTCAGTGCGTTTGAAAGGCGCCACGCCAGATTGATTTCATATATCTCTATACCATTTTCGAGTAATTTACCATGGGAGGTGCCACGTCCCTTTTTCCAATAGCCCCAACTTTTCTTCCTGACCAGTCGCTTTTTATATATCTTGTACATACCAAGTTCCAGTACTCTTCCATGAACACTTCCAGAGATATTCAGTATGAAAAATTTGATGTGTATGGGAAGTGCCACGCCTCCTTTTCCGATAATCACAATTTATCTCCATGAGTATGCGATTGCTTTCATATATCTCCATACCAAGATCGAGACTTTTTCCATGAACATTTTCCGGGATATGCAGTATGAAAAATTCGGTTTGTATGGGAGGTGCCACGTAACTTTTTCCAATAACCGCAATTTTTATCCATGAATATGCAAATGTTTTCATATATCTCCGTAACATATTCGAGTAGTCTACCATGAACACTTCCAGAGATGTGCAATATGAAAAATTCGGTTTGTATGGGAGGTGCCACCCCCTGCACCTAGCGGTATAAAATATACTTTACATCCGATTCTCATACCTACCATATATAACACAAAAAATTTCATAAAGATCGGTCGAGCCGTTTAGGAAGAGTTCGATTTTTATATGTATATTAGATAAGCACGATGCGAGAAGCATAGAAAAAATTTCGATAAAAAAAAAATATTTTTTCTCGGGTTCACAACTATCCTATCTTTTAAGTTGGAACCAACAATACACACCCACAAAATTTCATTGAAATCGGTTAAGCGGTATCGGAGATTAGCGTAAACGAACACAGTGACACGGGATATTTATATATTAAGGTACCCTACTATAAGCACCTACCATAGATACGTTTGCGTACCAAATTTCAATTTCATTTGACTTATGGTTTTGAAATTATAGCTGATAAAATTTTTCACGCTTATGGGATGTGCCACGCCCCCTTTTACAAACCCCTTTATATATACTTTACTGTAAGCACCTACCATAGTTATGTCTGCATACCAAATTTCAAGTTCATGTGTCTTATAGTTCCGGAATTATAGCTGATAACATATTCCTATGGAATGTGCCACGCCCACTTTTACAACCTCATTCATATATACCCTACTATAAGCACCTACCATATGTATGACTGAATAACAAATTTCAAGTTCATATGACATATAGTTTCGCTCATTTCTACAAACTCATTTATTTATACCATACTATAATCACCTACCATATATATGACTGTGTATGATTGATAACAAATTTCACGCCTATGGGATGTGCCACGCCCACTTTTACAAAGTCATTTATATATACTTTACTGTAAGCACCTACCATATATATGACTGCATACCAAATTTCAAGTTCATGTGACTTATAATTTCGAAGTTATGGCTGATTAAAAATTTCACGCCTATGGGAGGTGCCACGCCCCCTTGTCGAATCCCAATTTTTTTACCCTATTATAGGCCCAGGTGTCATGGCAATACTCTGTTAAAATTTTGTTCGATTCTGTCCGTCCGTTTAGGCTGCAACCTGGCACATACATAAATACATACTTCCACAAATAATATATCCTTCTCTTAGCGTAAAATAATTTTTGGGGATGTCTCAGCTAGGTGGCCCATCGTGTAAGTTTAAAGTCCAAATATTTCTTTTAAATTGCAAATTTTTATGAATATCCCGACCCCAGCGCCACCTAGCGATTAAATTTTTAGTCGAAATATTTCCCTTCAAGGTGCTGAAATACGTTCCAAATATGAACGAAATCGGTCCAACCGTTTAGTAGTTTAGTGACATTCAATATACGGAAAACTCTATGAAATTGTGAAATCGTGACGTCTCAGCATTCCTCATTTTTCGGCAACAACAACAAAAAATTTCAAATTTTTTTAAATCAAAGAACCTTCCACACAGAAGGTCCAAAATAGTACTTTTTACAGAATTGAAATCGGTTCAGCCGTTTGGTCAGGCATCGCCGTTATACGGAAAACATTTAATTTTTCTATATATAGATAAGTTATATAAGATTAAATTATAAATTTCAATTATTTCACTTTCATAGTATTTCAGTTCGTTATAAAATCATATCGCAGGATGGAGAATGAAGACATCGCAACTAAGCCCGTCACCAGACCCACATCAACGCCACCATCAACTGAAACAATAGTACACACAAATGGCGTAGAAGCAAAAGACATATCGCCAACAAGATCCCCAAAACTTCAAGGCTATGAATTTTACCGCAAAGTCCTTGGATCCCCTCAGTTTGTTGTAGGTGAAAGCAACAGATTTCATAATTATGTATGAAGCCTAATATTTCGTCTTTTGTTATTCGTAGGTGGCGCCAATGGTGGATCAAAGTGAATTGGCTTGGCGTATGCTTTGTCGCAAGTACGGTGCCCAACTATGCTATTCACCAATGTTTCACAGCAATTTGTTTGCCAAAGATGTGAAGTATCGCAAGGATGCACTACAAACATGCCCCGAAGATCGGCCATTAATTATACAGGTTTGTTCGTGTAATACTTCTGTATTGCTAGTACAATATGGTCGTAATGTGTTTCCAATTCGAAATCAATAACAGACAGCCTATAACTATGTTCGTATTACTTATAGCATAATATTACTTAGTTCTAATCAAATTACTTCTCATAAATCAAGTGCGCTCAGACTTGCTTTCATGATTTATACAGATATTTGATTAGCACATATATGTACGTGCCGGTGTGCAATTTTGACATGATTTCAAAATAAATGGTTACATACCCTTAGGCATTATTTTTATACATTTCCTCGACAGTGGTGGCTAAACTAGATGACAAGTCAGTTTTTTCTGGATTTGCGATGAATTATCTCATTTCTACTTAATTTATTTTCAGATTTTACAACGCGAAATTGCTTCATGATTTCAGCATGATTTCCTTATAAACAACAAATGCACCGTAAATTACGGTAATGTGAACATGCTTTTAAGCAGAGCTGGGCACTTTATGATTACGATTACATTTTGATTACTTAATATTTCTATTATTAGAATGTTTAACTTTTTTTTTTTAGGTTTGCTCGTCCTTAAGTTATTTGTTTTTGTTATTTTATGGCCTTATAACAATTATATTCAACAATTTTTATTGAGCTCGAGACCGTTTTTTTAATGAAAATTTATTGTGGAAAAGCAACAATAATTTGAAAAAATGGTAGAAGTGATAGCTATTTCGGAAATCACCACATTTCCTCATCAGACTTCTTTCAGTAGGATTCGAGCCGACGATCCCACTGACTCAGCCAGTTGCCTACGCACTGTGCTAAGTTCGCCTTGTTAATTCTTGTTGCTTATTTTTACTATTTCACTTCTTAAGCCAACTTCAATCAAGCGCAGCTATTCCCCTGCAATTACTTGATCATGTGGTTGTTGGTTTTTGTTAATATTTCTATTATTAGAATGTTCAACTTTTTTTTAGGTGTGCTCGTCCTTAAGTTATTGGGTTTTGTTATTTTATGGCCTTATAACAATTATATTCAACAATTTTTATTGAGCTCGAGGCCGTTTTTTTTTTATGAAAATTTATTGTGGAAAAGGAACAATAATTTGAAAAAAAGACAAGTGAAATAGTGGAAATAAGCAACAAGAATTAACAAGGCGAACACTGCGTAGCAGCGTTGCCATTTTAGCCGTTTTCCGGCTAGATTTAGCCGGTTTTGATAGCAACTAGCCGGAGAAAATTCGATCTAGCCGGCAGCCGATTTGTTAGCCGGTTTGTAAAAAAAAGTTAGCCGTTTTTAGCCGATTTTACTATTTGCCTAATTTGCAGGTGCAAAAAGTAAACAAGTTGTTCGAAAGCAATAATGCAGACCCAATGAAGATTTTTAATGAACTCAATGTTTTACTTTCGCATCTATGCTCCCTAGTGGTTATTAGCGCGGACACATTTGATCCTATATGCTCCCCGTTGGAACCATACCTTGCTCCATTTCCTCAGTTTTATCACAGTTTTGAAGAGTATTTAAAAACAAAAGTAAGCACAAACGCTTTTGACCACGAAGCCGAGAAAATAATTCGAAGCCGAATAATAATTAATAAAGGAATTACGCCAACGCCTCCCTGCGAATATTGCCACACTACAAAAAATTGACTTTTTTCGGTTGGAAATGCGATCTCTTAAAATTAATGAATTCAGGTGATATATACAATAGTGATTCATTTGATGATGAGGAATATACACTCGATATAAATTAATGGTGTTAACTAGTCTTTCGTTTCTTGCGATTTATTTAAATAAAGCATGTGAATTTTCACTAAAACATTTTAGCCGTTTTTTGCCAGAGTCTATGTGAAACTTCACTAAAACATTTTAGCCGTTTTTAGCCGCTTTTTTTTGCCAATCTAGCCGGTCGGCCCAAAAACTTCTGGCAACACTGGTGCGTAGGCCACTGGCTGAGTCAGTGGGATCGTCGGTTCGAATCATACTGAAAGAAGCCTGATGAGGAAATGTGATTTCCGAAATAGCTATCACTTTTACCATTTTTTCAAATTATTGTTGATTTTCCTCAATAAATTTTCATTAAAAAAAAAACGGCCTCGAGCTCAATAAAAATTGTTGAATATAATTGTTATAAGGCCATAAAATAACAAAAAAAAATATATATATATTTTAAAAATAGTTCTTGAAAAACTCCCATTTTTTGGAACATGTTTTTTATAGAGAATTAAATAAGGATTATGACGGTGTAATTTTAAATCCCAAATTTACTGGTCTTTACTATGCAAATCGACTTAAAAAGTTCAACTGTTAGTTGTTTAGTTAACTTTAGGACAATCATAACTGTTGGATCACCGCAGTTCTATTTTTAGTTATAAGTCAAACGCTTTA